CCTTTCGAGATGCGATGTCCCTGAACGCGCGAAATTCTGACAAGCTGATTGGTAAACTTTAAGCCTTTCCCATTCAAATATTATAGTAGCCTCGACATTTTGATATTAAGATTTTCGTCTCCAAATGACCTCAGAAATCTGCCATTAACGGGTGATACGATAAGTCTGGGACACCCTGTATAAAATAATGTTTTAGTCATATTTTTTCTGACATATGTTAAGTACGAGTTTCCGCGTAAACTCTTTTCCAAAGTAATATAATTTTACTTTCAAATATAATTCTATGATTGTTTTGATTACGTCGTACTTCTGGTTGTTCATTAAGTTGTCCATTACAATTGTTGAAAATGTTGCTCAGCTCTAAATTTTGCATCACATTTATAGTCATTTTCTGAAATGCGTATTTAGTTTTCAATTTATTATATCTATCCAGTAGATAATAAAAAAATTTTTTCTCAAACGGCACATTTTCAAAATTTGTTACTCCTGCAGCATTGCACCTCGTGTTATTACACGATTCAACGAGTTCAAATTAGTAAATGTTGATTACTTGATGCGTACGATGTCATCACTTAGGCTTGCTATTATTTCGCTAGATGGCTCTACTTACTATTTTCCAGCCGGTAACAAATGGAAATTAAAAATTACTTTCTCCGGCTTTTATAGAATAATTTAGAAACTTAAAAAATTAAAAATTTAACAATGGGAATAAATGAAGCAAATGAGAAGCAATTTTTCTATAAAAACAGATTTCTAACGTGACAATATAATGTGCTCGCTCACTTTGTAACAATCATTTATATACATTCTTATGAATATTACGCAATGTTTATTTAAATAATCGCGACACGATATTTGACTGTGTTGCAAAAATGGTGTTCTTCCTTTTTAAGTTATTTGCTTACCTTTTATCGATATCTCGGATGTATATATCATCTGTCTATAAAGAAAATAAAATTGTTCATTATAGTATTGCTCTTCATCCGATAAAGGTCGCTTCGGTTTACGGGTCTTCTACTGTCGATTTTGCTTGTAATCTGGTGGGAATATAACCTCTCAGAGTCGGCTCTTTGTGAATAGTAACGTCAAAAGTGTGATATAAATAAGTTAAATTATTTAATAAGCACGAAAATGCCAGATCACTTAGGAGAAGATATGCGGAAAGTGAAGAACGAGGAGGAGAAAGAAGAAAAGGAAATAAAATGTAAATTTCACGACTTATCCCATCACTTTGACATGTCATCGTCTATTCATTTTCTAAAAATTATTTTCTCTATTTTTAGCACTGGATGAAGGCGATATTGCTTTGTTGAAGACTTACGTGAGTTAAATACTATTTAATTGAAAAAGAAAAAGAAATAACATATGATTAAATATTTCAGAAATAAATACATAGTTACAGTATAAATATTGCATGTTTGCTAATGATATCACTTTTATTTTGTTTAATTAGGGCCAAGGACAGTATACAAAAAGTATTAAGGCTGTCGAGGAAGATATTCAAACAATTATCAAGCGTGTGAATGAATTAACCGGTATCAAAGAATCGGATACTGGTTTGGCACCACCGGCGCTTTGGGATCTTGCAGCAGATAAACAAACATTACAGAATGAACAACCCCTGCAAGTAGCACGTTGCACCAAAATCATAAATGCAGATTCAGACGATCCAAAGTACATAATAAACGTGAAGCAATTTGCTAAATTTGTGGTCGATTTAGCTGATTCAGTGGCGCCGACTGATATAGAGGAAGGCATGAGAGTGGGAGTAGATCGTAATAAGTATCAAATTCATATTCCATTGCCATCCAAAATTGATCCTACTGTTACAATGATGCAAGTGGAAGAAAAACCAGATGTCACTTACAGTGATGTTGGTGGTTGCAAGGAGCAAATCGAGAAATTGAGAGAAGTTGTTGAAACACCATTGTTACACGTCAGTATATAATTATGCTCTTTACAAGATTTTTTTTAAATACTACAGAAACATAATAAGAATTATTTGCAGCCAGAAAAATTTGTTAATCTGGGTATTGAGCCACCCAAAGGTGTTTTGCTATTTGGACCACCAGGTACAGGAAAAACTTTGTGCGCTAGAGCTGTGGCTAACAGAACAGATGCCTGTTTTATTCGTGTAATTGGTTCTGAATTAGTACAGAAATATGTTGGCGAGGTAAGTTAAGCATTACGTGCAAGGTTAATGCATGAAATTTTGTACAATGTATGCCAGTGTGATTTTTTTTCCTAGGGTGCCAGAATGGTAAGAGAGCTATTTGAGATGGCACGAAGTAAGAAGGCCTGCTTAATTTTCTTTGACGAAATTGATGCAATTGGTGGTGCTCGTTTTGACGATGGTGCCGGTGGTGATAACGAAGTGCAACGTACTATGTTGGAACTTATAAACCAATTAGATGGGTAAGTTATCCCGTCATAAAAATCTGTTTTCTATTTATTTTATGATTTATCCGCAAGTAAATTTTTTCATTGTTTCAGATTTGACCCTCGAGGCAACATAAAGGTGTTGATGGCGACAAACAGGCCAGACACCTTAGATCCCGCGTTGATGCGACCAGGTCGCTTGGACAGGAAGGTTGAATTTGGGTTACCGGATCTTGAGGGTCGTACACATATCTTCAAGATCCATGCGCGCTCGATGAGCGTCGAGAGGGACATCAGATTTGAGCTGCTCGCTCGTTTGTGTCCCAACAGTACAGGTGCTGAAATTCGTTCTGTCTGCACTGAAGCTGGCATGTTCGCGATTCGCGCGCGACGCAAGGTTGCCACGGAAAAAGACTTCCTCGAGGCAGTCAACAAGGTTATCAAGTCATACGCCAAATTTTCTGCGACACCCAAGTACATGACCTACAATTAGAATAATTCGCGAATAATAACACGTTCGGTTTGTATTCAACAAGCTGTAATTGTGACTTGTATCATGATTCTAAAATTATAATTAACGCAACATAAGTCTTATAATTATTTCTATTCTACACATTTAATAAATGAATAGGCAACTTCATCAATTTGAATTGAATAATAAAAGTTTCTTTCCTCATGTCAAAATTCTTCGAGAGAATATTGTTTCAATTCCAATTTCTACTCTTGTAGGTTTTCAAACTTTAGTTTAATGGGCGCGTCAGGTTTGTTAATTAGTAACGAAATTGAATCAAGGGTCTCTCCGCACCATGTGAACTGTAGACTTCGGCATATCTGTAAAAAATATGTTGAAAAGTTATTATGTGATTGCATCATATCGATGTATCTTTACAAGTTTTTACCAATATCAGTTTTAACGTATGAATTTTTGAAATACATACTCGAAGCAAGACAACTTGTAAGCTTTGTTCCGCGAATCGTCTCGCGATGCACGATCGCGGACCATGTCCAAATGGCAACACGATATATGGATTTATAGACTTTTCTTGAAGTCTGTCCGACTTATCGCGCAGCCATCTTTCCGGTATAAACAAATTTGGTTCTTCAAAATATTCAGGTAGTCGGCAAATCACTTGATTTTGTGTAACGACCACTGTCTGAAACATTTCAGTGAGAGATTTTCTCAAAAAAAAATTTTTTACATCTTTGGAATAAGAAATTGATTTGCAAGCAGTATATTACTTTTCGGGGAACGAGATATCCGCTGAGAATTACGTCGTTCTGCAGAATGCGACCTATCCCTACGGAGATGGGATTCATGCGGAAAGTTTCCTTTATTACAGCCTTTGTGTATGTGGCGTTTCTCAGGATTTCCGCTGTTATTGGAGAAGTATGATCTTTTAACAAAGCCATAGCCTCCGCCCTTAATTTTTCTTGAACATTTGTGTTTCTTCCAAGATGATATAAAGCGAATGATGTGGTGTATGTCGTCTAAAATAATATAAAATTTATGTTTTTTTTTCACTAGAAGAGTTTAATTACATTTGATTACAGATAAACCGAATTAAATCATATGTGAGTCATATAAAGTTTACTTTTCTAAACTCACAGTATCTATGCCAGCGAGCAACATATCGCACGCCATGCCCACAATATCTTTGACATCTAAAGACTCGTTTTTGAAATATTCCTCGAGAAGAGATTCTTTCCGACATATCAAAGCATTACGATTTCTTTGAGTAATCATCTCCAGCGCTACTCTGAGATATTTCACAGAAAATTACCAAATTCGTAAACAAGATAACTTAAAATTATCTATATTCTTTATCACTTTTTACTATTCTTTTTTATTTTTTAACTTTTGATAAAAGCTAACTTTTGATAAAATATATGTTAAAACACGATAAAATAAAATATTGATACGTTTTACATTGATTAGTTTCATATATATTATGTAACTCATGTTGCAATTTTACTTGCGTCTTCTTTTTTTCTTTAAAATAATGTTTTTAAATATATTTGTTTTTTATGCATTTTATTTTTAGACGCATAAAAGTTATAAATTAATTTATAATATTTACTGTAGTACCTACTCTAAATACTGATGATACTAATACTTTGTATCTTAGTTATTTGTTTCAGTTATTAAAAACGCGATAAAATATCTTAATGTAAACTTTTGCGATGTCTGCGGAATAATTTGATATTTCTTTACAGTAATTCAAAATTAATCACAGCAATACTATGTTTACATAATTTATAACTAAACACTTACTCTTCCATGTAGTTCTGCGATTTACGCAATTTTCTGTACAATGGTGTTTCGAAAAATCGCCATAATCTCGGGCCATTGTCTAGTTTTAAAGTCGCGCTGTTTGTTATAAACGCAGCTTTGATAAGTCTTGAACTTCGGGAATTTGGATGTTTTTCTTCTTCCGACAGGCATCGCATTCTTACGTCGAAAGCAACGAGACATGTTACTGAAAATTCATATCGAAAGATATAAAGAATCAATTAACATTTTATAATATATAACAAGTAAAAAATAATAAGTTTGTTTTGGCATAAGAATTTTACATTCAAGAAAAAGACGCGAGAACAGCGGCAGAAAATCATCGGTCTTTTCTCGGGAACAGAGTTGCATAAACTCCTGAACAACGAGATCGGTATCCTCCAGGTAATCGACGACGTTGCGCGGTTTACTAAGAACCTTCTGAAATTCCCGGCGCAATCTCCACCAGTCGATACCATTTCTAAAAAGATTGAAAATTTTTATTCGAAATTTGAAGCGATTTTACTCGGCTAAAAGATTTGGCGAAATAATGCAATGTAAAATTGCGTAAGAATCACATGAAGAAATTACGTTGGTAAGAGCCCGCCGGTATTATAAACATCACTTCTGTCTTTTCTGTACTTAAATAAAGCCAAATGCGATCGCCTCTCAGGATGTAAGCCTGCTTCGGCTTTAAAAATTTCCGCGATATCTTCCGGTCGGAAAACCCACACCACCGATTCACCAGGTACTATTTCCTCCCGCACCAAAGGACCATAACGCTTTAGTTTCAATAGACCATTTATATGCAATTTGGTAAAACTGTATTCACCTACACCATATTAAATTATTAATATTGTGATATTAGTCAATTAAATTAATTAAATGTTAAATTAAATTTTGTTAAAATTAATAAATAAAATTAATTAATAAAAGTTCATGAAAACTGAGATAAATTAAATGCAGAGTATAAACAAGCAAAGAGCAAAATCTTAGGTATAAAAAATAGGATTTCCACTTTTAGTTTAACAAAAGAAAAAACAGGGATCACGCGAGTTTAGTTTCTATTGTATGTATTTAACGATTCTGCAAGAAAATTTTTATGATTAAAAATTGTAAAGTATTTGATTCTTACCTATGAAAGGTAGATATTTATGTAGCGTGCCAATGATGGGCAATGATCTCGGCCCTGGAATATTCTTGAAAGATTTGGGCACATTCGTATTAATGTGATTAAAATTAATCGAGCACGATCGAACACATAATTTTTTTATTCTTCGTTTTTCGATCTTTATTCGCGCGTACATTATTACTCTATTTTATTTCTTAAATGTATATATTTTCTACACGAAAATTTTATCGTTGACGTAGACCTTTTAGGAAAGACAGTTGAAAATAACGCACAGAAGAAACAGGTTTTAGACTCAGCAGAGGCCACTTTGAGGTTTCGACCGGTCAACAATTCTATCTTCTTTCCTCCTCACCGTCTTTCGCTTAGTCTCTCGATCTGAATCGTTGGCATAAATTTGATACCCAGAAAGATAAAACCGTTCCTTAATACTGCTTTAGAGAAACATGAGTTCAACAGTAAGCTGACGAATATTATTGACTGCTGATGCAACCTTCACGATTCATGTTTCGACGATAGTTTGACATAATACGTCACGTTTATAAAATATTTTTTTTTATTCACAATAGTACTGGAGTAATATAGAGAGGATTTTTAGGTCTACGGGATTATTTAAGAAAAGTCTTTCTTGCGCTTCTACTATTTTACACAGTTTATTTATGTAAAAATGGACATATTTATAATTTATTAATAATTCCGAACTCTACTTTATGTTATCAATGATATTAATTGTAAATGTACATTTGTTAACAACAATTCAGATTATCTCTAACTTAAATTACCGCTTACATTAAAATACTATCTCAGAGTTTGGCTGGAAATTTTGAAATCTCCTGCATTTACATATTTGATAAAAGATGTTTTTAATAAAAATTCTACGCGAGAACAGCAATATAACTGTTACTGGTTTTATATTTGTTACTCATAATATATGCTGTGTTAAATTCTAAATTTTTTTTTATATTTATGTTCTCGATATTGTAACTGAATTCGTTTAACCCAATTTGTCCACAATATCTTATTATTTACATATCATTTAAATAAATTGTAAATGCGATGTTTTAGATTTAATCTATTGATTGTGATAATCTTATGGAGATAAAGTTTTGCTGAAGTTGCAGAAAACTATTAATATCTATTTAAATTATGTAACTGTAATTGTGCGTGATTTTTTTTTATTATCATTAATCCGCAGTTTGATTTTTTTCTCTTGTAATTGCGCAAGTGTCGGCCTTGTGTGGATTTTTGCTTTGCAATAAAAAAACTGTTTTGTTCAAGTTTAATTGACGTATTAAATTAAAAAGTAAAATTAAACAGTAAAATTAGACTGTAAAATTAAAAAATAGACCAAACTAATTCTCAAATTATTTTACTATTGAGAAAAAGTAAATTGCTTAAATTAATTTGTTTAAATATCATAAATTTATTTTGTTGTTAAATAAGCAATAAGTTTTTACAAAAATGTAGAAAGAACCATTTACGATTAATCGAAATATTTGTGATAAATTTTTGCTAATAGATTATGTCAAAAATTATATAAAATTTTCTTACTACCTTTGTTGGAATGAAAATTTACATGGTGAATAAATTTAATACGTTAACTGAACTGGAATAAAATAATTGATTTATTATACAGAGTAAAACTGCGCACAAAGCCGACACTTACGCAACTGTAAAAGAAAAAAAATCAAACTGCGGATTAAGCATAACAAAAAGAAATCACATACAATAACAATTCGTAACGAATATTTATCTATTCCTCTTGTACTCGCATGTCTCTCTCTTTCTCAACTCGCGTCTGCTCGCTTCGGTTTCAATGACGTGGCGAAAGTCCAATGCTTTTCATCTTCCAATTAGATCGCTTGATCCATCGATCTTTATACATGAATATGTGTCGGATAATACGTATTGCAAAGTGTTGCCGTACATACAATTTGTATAAAATTAATTTATTCTTTTATTTTTAACAATCTTCATGAAAGATTTTGATTGCACAAAGTGAATAAAATACTGCAACGCGACCTTGAACGCATACACTGTGGCAGTCGAGGCAGTGTAACTGGCAGTCGAATGTAACTGGTAAGGCTGACGAGTAACTGGAAAGTAGTTCCTTAGTTATTCACATACTTCTTAGTGAAGCCGTGTGAAGAAGACGTCGTGAAAATGTGGAACAGTTGGTGTACCAGTAAAGTGCGTCTTGTAGGCAAAACTGTTATTATAACGGGAGCGAATACAGGAATTGGGAAAGAAACCGCCAGAGATCTTTTCAGAAGAGGTAATTTTACGACGTAATATTACAATTTCTAAATTTTTCAACAAGAATAAATAAATTCTTAAACCTATTTCTTGAATTTCTTAGAACTGATTTCTTACAATTAGATTTAATTTGATATTTTTATTTGATTTTTCCCTAAAAAAGAATAGAATTTTAAGCGACTTTTCTTAAAAAATAAAAAACGTGAGTGATTTATGCTATGAGTCTATCTTGCTGCGTGTTCTATTTTCTATGTATACACGATGATCTTTAATAATTTGTGACTGTCAATTTATCAAATTTCAATAGTAAAACTTTAGCAGAATATTTTTAAGACTTTAAACATGGAAAAAAAGATTATTTAAAAAAAAAATAAATTTATCTTATTTTTAGCTAATTGTAGCTAGCACTTGACGTCTAATCTATTTCTTATATTAATTAATATTAATATAAAATTATTACATTAATATACAGGGTGTCATGTAACTGGTGGTACAAGTGGGAAGGTGGTGATTCTACATGAAAAACTGAATCGAAAGTATAGAATAAAATTTTTTCATACGAGGTTTTGTTTCCAAGAAAAATGAGGTTGAAAGTTTATCGAGTAGGCGTGTACTTACTTAATCAAGTCTCAACTCAACGAATTTCACTATCTTTACTCTTTAATATTTTGAAAAACATTATGATACTACTTGATGTGTGTAAATACCGTCAATGTATGTTTTTTTTTGTATCATTCGTACTCTTCTCTTACGCTTATCGAATTGAGCTCTTAGTTTCTATTATATTGTCAATATGTCTATATGCAAGCTAGCAATCGTCTATAGCAATCGAGAGTATACGGACACGATTCGTGTATTAGATGTATGTAATGGCAAAACTTTGGCCGCAGTTAATTATTAATTATTGTAAAGACCGATATCATAATCGATCCATTTCCCAGAGAGAAATACAGGTCGAAGAAACGTCTATTAAATGTCTATTAGACATTTATAGACGTCTATTAGATGTCTATTAGACGTTTCTTCGACTTGTATTTCTCCCTGGGTTAGTCTTTACGAACATGAATAAAGATAATCTACAGTGAAATCCGTTGAGTTAAGACTTGATCAAGTGTACTCGATAAACTTTCAAAGTCATTTTTCTCGAAAACAAAACTTTGTATGAAAAAATTTTATTCTATATTATCGATTCAGTTTTTCATGTAGAATCACCACCTTTCCGCTTGTATCATTAGTTCCATAACCCTGTTTATAAATTACAAATAATTATTGTGTACGTAATTTTATTCATTTATTGAAATATAAAACTAAAAATGTGAACGATATTTTTAATCAGGTGCAAGAGTAATTTTGGCCTGCCGAGATGTGCAACGAGCAAATGATGCACTTGAAGATATAAAAAATAATCCACCTTCAAGGTATTTATAACTCGTTTGTGATTGAATAATTTGCAGGTTAATTGCAAATTCTTTATCCTTGTTTATTACTTCTGTATTACACATTTGTTTAATATTAATAAATGAGCAATGTGAGTAATTTGTGTTCCGCATTCAATTCTCTGAGCATTGCAGTATTTACATCTTTAAGTCTTAGATGATTTCAAGGACCGAAACTTAAGAAACTTGGAGGTATTGAAGTTACTTTAAACAAATTTTTACTTACTTTTACGCCAACTTTAAGTTTTTAAACACTATCATTAAGTTACTTCACATAAAGTTACCACTATTAAGTTAATTTTAGATACTTTTCATGAACTTTATGTTTTCAATAACTAAAGAGGCAAAAACTCAAAGATATTTTTGAAACTCTGAAATAACTTAAACAAAATTTAAAAATTTTTATAGTTACTTAAAAAAAACTTTAAAAATTTTTAAAGTTACTAAACAAAACTTTAATAAACTTTAGGCCAGTCTAAAGTAAATTTTTTTAAGGGTTGTTATTAAAATTTTTTAGTAAAAACTTCGATAGCTTTGCAAAGAGTTACATTGATTTCAAGTAGATAGTTAAATCTAATTGAGTAAGTCATAATTGTATTTGTTTATAAATAGGTCAAAGTTACCTATCGTCTACAACTAGTGGATTTATGCAAAGTGGATTATGTCGGCTTTATTTCGTAACAGAAACATTCGTGAAATCTATATTTTTAATTCTGATTCAATAAACTTTTGAGACAATTATTGCATGTAGAAAAATGTGGCAAGTATTGTGTAATAAAAAAAAGCGCATACTTTCAGAGCAGATAAGGAACAGTTTCAAGGTGAGCCAGGTGAGCTTGTGATCTATCAGCTGGATTTAAGCAAATTAAAGAGCGTTAAAGAATGCGCTGAAAAGTTATTAACATGGGAATCGGCCATTCATTTGCTGATAAATAACGCTGGCATAATGATGTGTCCGCAGGAAAAAACCGAAGATGGATTCGATTTACAGTTACAAACAAACTACATCGGCCACTTTCTTTTAACGCTCTTACTACTGCCAAAAATACAGGCATCTGCTCCTGGTTGTAGGATAGTGAATGTGTCATCGCGTGTTCAGTCTTGTATGTAAACTTTTGACAGTAAACATAATCCCAGCGAGAAGTGACCTATCAATCGACATCAAATCGATGTCTAATTGACGTCGAAATCATCGATATTACATCGTATTGATGTCGATTCGACATCAATTCAATGAGTCATTTCTCGTTGGGATTGCATCTAAGAATTAATTTTATTACTTTAAATATCGCATCTCCGCAAGAAAAGTGACACAAGTCAAAATTTTTTGAATTTTGTATTAGGTACGAATTATATTCTAAATACATCGGTCTTCAATCAGGAAAAATGAAAAGCTGTTGATTTCTGTGAATAGAGCTCAATGTGAAAAACAAGTTAAATTGAAATATTTCCCACGTGAGTCCGCTAGTGTCGCTATAACAATTCGAATAATGTTCTATTAT